GTATGCTACATGTTCTTGGGTTTCAGTCCTGGCATTGGAAGCTGATGCTGTGGCTGAGCCCTAGCCAAAACCAATCCTACTTTGCTCTAAGCATAAATGTGATCCTTCCAGAAGCTTGAGATTGGGTTTCCAGCCAGAAGTCACAAGTAAGTCATGTTTGGCATTCTTTTTCCATGCCAGAGTCATTACCCATTTTTCAAGCAATATTAATCGCTGACAAAGACGGGACATAATAATGACGAGCTGTATTTCCCATCATTTTGTCATAGCCCTTGTGAAGTGATAGCTTTTTAAGGAGTACAGGGAGCAATCTTTGCTGAGTCAGAACATTGGCTTATCAAGCTCTGTATTGTCTAAACCAGTTTTCCTCCAGTGCCTTAACAATGTGCTGGGCTATAATTCCTCCCATCCCCAGCCAGCATTTTGACTGAGCATGATGGGGGTTGTAATCCTACACATCTGGAAGGCACCAGTTTGACAGTCATTGTTTCTCCAGGAGTCATTCCCAATACTTTTTGGAAACAACAGGGATCAAAACTAGGACTTTCTGAATGTAAAGCCACTGAATTATGGATGAAGATAAGGGTTTATAGCTGATGACTGCATCCCCTTGGCTCATTACAATAAATTAACCCCTGAATCCTTGTAATGCTGTTGCTTTATTCTTAGATATAAATATTACAGATTTCAAGAAGACTTTGAAAATACTACCACTACTCCCATATGCGCTGTATTTTTTCAGGTACACCAGCAGAAAACTATGCACTTGCAGCTGTTTTGCTCTCTGTTTTTCTCTATATCTTTTTCACTGATGGGGATTGCACTTCTGTTACCAAAGAGTACTTCAAGATTTATAAAGTGGCACCATAGAGAAGGACTATCTCAGTCCTTGTTCTCTATATATTCAAGTAGCCCTGCCAGCCCATAGCAGATGTTTTTATAGAACTGTGGTGCCATCCAGTGGCAAGCTTAAGTACTGACTAGAGGTAGCAAGGACAGGTACCAAAGGTACTCACTTATGCCTTAAGGCAGGAGTAGGCAACCTTTCCCCTTTAAGGGCTGAGGGACTTCAGCTCCCAGAATCCCAGGAGCTATTGGCCAACATGGGACTATTGGCCAACATGGCTGAGGCTTCTGGGAGCTGAAGTCCCTCGGCCCTTAAAGGGGAAAGGTTGCCTACCCCTGCCTTAAGGGCTTGCTTCTGGTTGTGTTTCAGAGAGTAGAGAATCCCTGCTGGTCTACTGCAAATACAACTTAGGAGTTTATCACATGGGCGGAATCCCATGCAAAAATGAGATTTAAAATGAAACAAATCCACAAAAGTGGATTGTTTTTCTGTTGACGTCTGAGATCAATCCACACAGAAAGTGGAAAAAACCCAGAAAAGCAGGTTGATTTTCAGATGACGTTGGGGTTAATGAGCAATAACGTAACATTAACTCAAACAGAAAGGTGACACAATGCACTTCTTTTTACTTTACTTTTTACTTTTACTTTTGTTGCCTTTCTGTCCGAGTTAATGTCATATTATTGCTCATTGTCGGAAAATCAACCTACTTTTGTGGGGTTTTTTTCTGGGGTTTTAAATCCCGTTTCTGCATGGGTTTCGGAGACTCTGCCTCCAAGTGATAAACTAGTTAGAGAAGTTTCCATTTAGACTTCAACTCCCCAAGTTGCCGGGGCAACATGAGCATTGCCCATGTTGGCTGGGAACTCAGAGAGCTGTAGTCCAAAAAGTTCATGTCTCCAGGCCCTGGTTGCAACAAAAGCCTTGTGGCACAGTAAAGACTAACAGATTTATTGTTGCAAATTTTTTTTGGTATGGATTAGACTCCACTTTGTCAGACACAATGGGCTCTAGTCCATGAAAACATATGCCCCAATAAATCAATTAGCTTTTACAGTGGTGCTACAAGGCTCTTTGTTTTCCTAATTATATTTTATCGCACACAGTCCTGAGGAGTGAGAATCATTTGAAAGATGTACTCCATTAAATTGTCCAAAAGTGAACGATCTTCAAACTGCATCCATATATCACAACCAGCAAATGCCACAGGATGTCTCCTTCTATACCAAATTACAGTATAAAGATAGAAAGTGCCATAAAATGGGATGCTGAAAAGATGAACCTTTTCCTCCTAGGAATGGGTGACAATTTTCTTTGGTTTTGATAAGAATTCACCCAAAATTGCATTTTTTTATTTTTTTTTTTTAAAGAGAGAGATTGAATGTGGGCACAACTGAAACTGGTAGATTCAGCCTTCCGGGATCAGAATTTTGAGTAATTATTTGCTAAAAGTGTCGTTTTGAACTATGTCGTGTATTTAACTATGCTAGTGCTGATTTAGTGTTGTTACCCTCCCGCCCCCACTCCAGCTCCAAGATACTCCTTATCTTTAACACTTCTATGGCAGGCAGACACAATTGGAGATTCCCATCCTAAGGATGATGTACCTATTGACTCTGTTTGGTGCAGACGGGAAAGAATTTCAGTTTGGTTTATTCTGGAAAAGTTTACCAAAATGCACAAATTTGTTCGTATTCAGGAAGAAAAACACACACAAAGCTCTCAGATTTTTTTCCCTGTTTTCATTTTCATCTTAAATAACTATATTCATAGAGTAGTCTAGGCCATATAGCTAAGACTAATTTTTAATGAAATAAAAAGATTAATCCTGAGCATAAAGAAGAAATTTGCAGCATATGGAAATATCAGACACTAATACAGTGATTAGACATTGATCAAAACAAAGACTGCAGTCAACAAATAAGAAGACTAGGAATGGGGAGGATAGCCATGAAAGAACTAGATAAGATTCTATTGTAAGGATGTAAAAATAAGCACTAAAGTTAGAATTGTCCAAGCCATTATATTCCCCATAACCTTGTACAGATGTGAGAGCTGGACAGTGAAGAAAGCCAATAGGAAGAAAATCAACTCATTTGAGATGTGGTGCTAGAGAAGATACCATGGAAAGCCAGAAGGACAAACAAATGGGTACTAGAGCTGATCAAGCCAGAAATATTCCTGGAAGCCAAGATGACAAAGCTGAAGCTGTTGTACTTTGGTCATATCATGAAAAGGCATGGCTCACTAGAAAATATGATAATGTTAGGGAAGGTAGAAGGCAGTAGAAAGAGAGAAAGACCACATGTCAGATGGAAATACTCAATTAGGGAGGTCATGGGCCAGAATCTACAGGACCTAAGCAGAGCAGTGAAGGACGGGGGTCTTGGAGATGTCTCATCCACAGGGTTGCCATGAGTTGGGGCTGACTTGAGGGCAGTTAACAATGATAACAAGTACAGTGAGCCCTTGGTATCTGCTGGAGTTTGGTTCCAGGACACAAATACGCCTACACCCATATCTGTGAAAACCAAAATCTGTGGATGCTTGAGTCCCATCATATACAATGGCTTGTTAAAATGTTGTCCCTTATATAAAATGGCAAAATCAGTCTTTGCTTTTCGGATTTTTTTGGGGGGGGGGTCGATATTTTCAAGCACTGGATGTTTGAATCTACTGGATGCAGAATCTGTTGATACAGAGGGACAGCTGTACAAAGACAATGCAAACATCCAATGTGATGCTCACAGTGTACAGTTGGCCCTCCATATCCATGGATTCACTATTGATGGATGCATCTATCCACAGCTTGAAAATATTCCAAAAATATATAAATTCCAAAAAGCAAACTGTGATTTTGCTATTTTATATATGGGGCACCATTTTACTATGCCATCATATATAATGTAACTGGAGCATCCACAGATTCTGGTATCTACAGGGAGTCCTGGAATCAAACCCCAATGGATACCAAGAGTTCACTGTATTTCCACCATTAACATATGAGAAGTTTGGAATGAATAAAAGATTATTTTATCTATATATGAATGTATGTTTTACAGCTGCTGGAGACAGACTACTGGGCTATCTAATATGCTTCAGTGTATCAATTTTGGGGGAATGTAAGATGTGGGCTGCATTTTTGCACTCATCTCCTGCCTGTGGGCTTCTCATAGGCTAATGATTGCCACTATGTGAACAGAATGCTGGACTAGAGAGTCTTAAATCTGACGCAGGAGTGCTGTTTTTATGTTCTAATAGAAAGAGTTCCTAAGGTAGCAATTCCATCAATGACCACAATATTCATGTTTCTTTCCCCCTACCTGAGGTTATTACTTTCAACCATTTGGTCTCCAAGAAAACAGACACACTTAACATAAAACAGCTTTCCCCAACTCAGGGTGCATCTGCACTGTAGAAATAATGCAGTTTGACACTACTTTAACTGCTATGGTTCCATCCTAAAGAATCTTGGGATTCTGTAGTTTTGTGAGGCACCAGCACTCTTTCGCAGAGAAGGCTAAAGACCTTGTAAAACTACAAACCCCAGAATTCCATAGGATGAAGCTACAGCACTTGAAGTGGGGTCAAACTACATTATTTCTATGGTGTAGTTGCACCCTCTTGATGCAATGGACTATAGCTCCTATCTTTCCCAGGCAGCATGGCCACTGTGGTCCAGCTCATCTAGAAGATGTCAGATTGGGGAAGGATGGCATAAATTACAGCTTTCTTCTTCTTAGGATATCTGAGTTGGATTATGTGTATAACTGCATGCATATGTAGTTGAAATGATGAAGTCCAGATCTGGGCAGTATAACATATGTTGTCCCAAAATTTCCCAATAGACAGGTAGTAACTTGATAACAGATGTATTAACTGGGACTGTTAGGGAAGTTTCCATAAAACTTGATTGGTACACCATGCTCTACTTGTACTAAATTAAGCTAAGTGGGCACTGCTATTTTAAAAACAGGCTGGAGTCCCACTGACTTGTTATTGTGCTCCTTCAAGTCATTTCCAACTTATGGCAACCCTAAGGTGAATCTATCATGAGGGCCTCTTGGCAAGGTTTTTTTCAGAAGGATTTGCCTTTGCCTTCCTCTGAGGCTGAGAGAGTGTGACTTGCCCAAGATCATTCAATGGGTTTCCATGGCTGAGCAGGGATTTGAACCCTGGTCTCCAGAGTCATAGTCCAATGCTCAATCCGTTACACCATGTTGGCTCACCACCACTGACTGATATGCACTATTTCATTGCCTCTGGTAAACCTGTGAAAGGAAAAGAGATAAATGGAAATGGAGATAGACTGAAAGAGAGAGGCGGAGGGAGGGAGTGATAAATAAACCATGCCAATCACAGAAATCCCATAAATGGCTGTGAGTTTTAGCTGAATTGTGAAGTCTGTATTAGTGTAATACCTTTATTACCAGCTCAAGATCACACAAAATATGCAAGCTTGCACATTTCTATGACCTTTGAGTTCACCTAATAAAGGCATTACACTAATATGGATTTTGGAATGTTTCTCATAGCCAACCAGGTTGTCTTTTCTTTGTGCTAGCTGAGCCGATATAAGTGCATTCTTAGCACAAATTAAGCTAGGGCTGAACTACTTCTCAAGGCTACGGGACATTCTTGGAACATGTGAAGCAGCAGCAAACTGAAGGCCTATCTGAGCATGTGCAGAGTGTTTTCCTGTCAATACTGAGTAGTATTGGCATTGTGGTTTGAGTATTGGACTACGACACTGAAGGCCAGGGTTTG